CCAGCACACTACGACCCACTTCAAAATCCAAAATACCCCACCCAAAACCAACCGCAAATCGGAAACCGATCTTCCTTGATCTTTCTACAACAGGCCGTTGACTCTGTTCCCATCCCCTCTGATTCGCAGTTCCTTCAATTGCTTATGTGTTTTTGTTGTCGTTGAGAAGCGCTTATGCGACGACAAATATATTGAGAGATGCCCACTCAGCGGACTCATCAAAACTGAAAGTGAGCTCTATGCCAAATATTCATAGCAACATAATGTGCTGGACCTGCATTATGGAATCAAGAGAGCACAGACGAGTTAGTGCCTGGTTTAGCTGGCCGAACTGCACTGTGTCGAATGAGATATTGTTCTTTGCCATCAGAGCAAAAAGCTGAAGGCATACAAATGAAAATCAAATGATAAAATACTTCTAATCACCAGAGCAGATTCTACAATCACCTTCTCCGGAGCGTTCCAAAAGGCTATACGGCGAACACTAGGTATAGCAGAAATTGCGTAGTCAGGCTCATTTCCACCGCCCCAATCCTCTCGTTTTGCAGCGAGGACGGGGGTGTTCCAAAACGCTTGATAGGATCTTAGTAGTACGTCCAAGTCGAATCTCGTGCTTAATGAAATCGTATTATGTTATGTTTGGAGGATTTATCGCCTTCAGAACTCCTTGACAAGGATGTGTTGATTGCATTGTGAGTTTCTTATTTTAAGCATTTTTTTGAAAGCACACCCGATGCTGCGTCTGAGTGAAACGAATGGGTACCCGGCAGGAAGCCCGTCGCGCCGTCGCGCTGCGAGAAGGCAGAGGCACAGGCGTGCAGCAGACGAGTCGCAGCACGTACTGTGCGATGTGGATCGTACTATAGTACATACATTCTGTTAACTTGACGCTAAATCGCTACAGTACGCGCTGCGACTCGTCCGCTGACATGCCTGCGTCTCTGCCTTCTCGCCACAAGACGGGCCTCCTATCGAGTAGCCAAAACGACCTATCTCGTGAAAGGGGCAGGCGGCTCCGCACCCGCAAACGTGATACCATTTCTGTGACTCGAAATCGAGTAGCAAGACCGGAAGGAGCTGCATGCCGGCTGGCGCAGCCCAACAGCGCTGCCACCATTGAATGCGATCTGCCAGCGTCGAGTTTTCATTCTGTGTTCTTGATCACCGAGCAAGTCTGTTTCCCGGCTCGGTGCACTGTGTCTGTTAATTCTCCCGCGTCTATGAGTTCTTACAATCGTAGACCACGATGGAAAAAAGCGTCGAAAAAAGGCCATGTAGGGGAGTGCTCCCGGTTTTTTTCCTCATTATAATAAGTTGCACGCCTCACCGTAATCTTACCGCTATTCCGTATCCGAATTATTGTAAAAGCACAATCGTGGGTGTGTGAATTATATCGAGGATACCAAGATAAGGTCGAAAGTTGAAGAATAGGTAATTCACCCAGTGGGAAGACTGGCGCACCCCCTAAGAGTACGAGCCGACAAGCAAATTGCAACAAAGGATATGCTCCGGCGATAACGCCGGGGAGGAAAGCACCGCAGGGATAGCATGACCCTTTCCGCAGAGCTATCAACACTGTACGCCCACCGACTGGCGAACCATTCGCCTCAGATCTGCCGTTCAGCAGAGAAAGCATTAGCTTTAACACATTGACGACCGCGCGCGTTTTGGCTTTTTTGGCCGTGTGGGACCGGGCCGATTTTGCGAGTGCGACCGCCGCACCTCGGATCCGTGAATTTTTATTGATAACTTTTTAAAGCACCAGTGGTACAAAAACATCTCAGTAACAGTCAATGCGTAGAAGGTAATAGAGTATATAGTGACGAAGTTCCGATTAAAGAACATGTAATGGTAATGAAAAAGGAAATTTTAGTCATTTTATCTGTAGTGGATGCCAAAAGCTCTTTTGATGTGGTTATACCAAGTGAAACATGTATTTTTCTGTCTCTTTAGATTTGCATTTACTTTCACTACCCTTTTTTATTGACGTGTTCATGAGAATAGCATGAAAACTATTAATGAACCAAGCCGCCGGTTTCGGTGAGCTTGGAAAACTTCTTCTAAACTGGAGCATATTTGAACAAACAATGACCTATGTCGTTCACAATAATGTTATGTTCTAATCCATAGAAGAGAGACAAACAATTCGGGAAAAAGCTGCGCATGCCCTAGAAAAAGGGATGATAAGGGTGAGACGCGGTAACGCGTCTCAATAGTGGTAAATTTGGCTACACCGGTAAGTCGAACGCAATCGGAAATCAGCAGGCAGTGAAAGGATCCCAGTTCTCAAGTTTTGGGTCATTCTCTTCATAGCGCACCACTTACCACTTCTACCTTGATTCTGATGCGGAAATATACATTTGTACAGGCACGAGGTCCAACGAGGAACGTTTGGAGAAAAAGCAAAAAGCCGCCATAGAAAATTTATTTATTTATTATATTGGTCGATCGCAGAAGAAGGTATGGCACAGTTGCAATGAATTCTGAAATTTCCCTCATGAGGTCAGCCGTGGTATGAGGGAGCGCTGCGAGGAGAAGGAAAACGCGAAAGCACGTTTTACACGAGAGGGCACAAACGCCATGCATGCCGCGATTGGTAAGGATGGCAGCACGACAGCACACAAGGCAAGGCCTCAAGCTGTTGTTTCGCATTTTTGCTCCTCCTAGAGTGAAAAAGAGGGTTTTCCAAGCACTTCCTGCGCTTGGAAAAACCCTTTCTCAGTCAAGAGGGACTGCTTCTTGCCACCCCGTCGTGGCTTTGAAGTTAGAGATCGAAAATCGCAAGAACTTTCCTACCATTAGCGTCATGCCATCTTAAACTAAACGAGTAATCTGGATGTTCACAAGAGCAAATAAAAACCTACGGATCATCTGGAACTTTCAGTCCTGTGTAAAGATATTCCAACTTCGGTCGATCAGCTAGAACGTCAAAGTCACTCATTGATGAAGAAGAAGCTGTCACAGACAGTAAAGTCAATTCAGGGGTATTCCAACTCTAAAAGATATCCATAGAACAATTGCTCTAAATACTTCATACTAGTATATTCTTGGATTTTCTCATTAGGGTGTCGTGTAATACAAAGATTTTCATTTCCGGATGAAACTTAAAGACAAGATTCGGGATAAAATAGGTGTGGAAAAGCGTTCAGTTATGAAGCTATAGGTGGGAGGTGGTCTGTAAAAGAGAAGGAAAGCAAACGAAACCACCGATTACGCCCCGTACAGAGACCTCCCCCCTATTTCAGCCACATTCCACCTTGGGATAGAGAAGAGGCGCGTTGGACGAGTTTCACGAACCTAACTCTACTTGCTCCAGTGCCAATACATTGGATCGCAATGGGACCGCTGCCTCAAATGCGCCCGCGCTTTTCAAGCAGCGCCACGTGGCAACCGACAGCGGAGGGTGGGGCTTGCGGACGAAGGTGTGAGTTGCGGGTTGGACGAGCTCCTTGCGCCTTTGTCGCGCACTTTCAAGCCGCAAAAGGGGCCCGACATCAACACTTGTCCACCTGCCTACTACCCCCTGGATGGAACAGGCGAGCCCGCCTGATCGCGGAGCGTGCCTTTAAGAGCTTCATCGCAAATTGGAGAATTTGGACCGTGCTGTGCCAGCACGATTCTGCAGAACTTATCCTTCAGAGAAAAAAATACACTCAATTTACCCATTTCAGAATTAGCAATCCTTCGAAAAACAAACTATTGTCTGAAAATGTTTGCAAACCTCTGCCGCATTATCCTCTACAAACCACAAAAATGATTTTCACTGTGCAGTGAAGAAGTATGTATCCTAAATTGGCCAGTTAAAGAAAACTTACTGCCAACTCGAACATGTCCGCATTGTGCCAAATCAGCTCCCTTAGATTGGGAAAGCTCAGCCTAATCAGCGGTCGTCCATGTACCTGAAAGCATCACTCATCTCAGTTATTAAATAGGAATCAGGAAATACCAGGAATGAAATCATAGAATACAAATGTATCATTTGACATATAATATTTTCCAATCTTATAATGGGCGGACCTGACTAACGGTAAGAATTGGAGATAAGATGATTCGATGGGTACGTGGTCACACCGCCTCTGAACGCCCTTCCACCAATGATTTTGGTAGCGAATCTTAATCGGGTTCTGGGAGGACCTCCTATCATGATCTTCAGAAACCCTAACTACCAAATGACAGTCGGACGCTTCAAAAGACAAATCATTCCATAGATTGAGAGAAAAACGAAAGCGTACCTCTAACTCTCCTAGATTCAACGATGTAATAACGTCTCTTCGAAAGGCCACCACATCAACAAACGTCTCTGGTTTTAAAAATGCAGGAGAATATACATATTTGGAAGTTCTGTAAAAGTAATCAGGTTCAACATGCAAAGTTTCGAAAAAGGTTTCTTTGAGCACTACAATCGAAAGACGTAATTGGAACTTAAAATTTGATTTACTCAATCTCTCTTTCGTACCCGCTCCCCTATCTTCAAGATCACTGTTGCTTCATTGTCGCTTTCAACGCAGCTCAAGTCTCTGCAGTTTGTCCACGGAAGGCAGTCTATTTGAAAATTAATTTTTGTCCTGCCTTGGATGCTGTAGACCCTAATCGCCTAGACAGGTAATCAGTGCGAAGGTATTGGGTACTCTGATATACTCCAACAATGCAAGGTCAAGGTGCTCAGTGGAACTATACTTCCTTCGATTCCAGAGGAAAAATTGTCAGGACTATCCATCCGTAAATGTCGTAGATGAGAAAAAATAACACTAACCTGGGAAAATCACGCAGAAATAAGTCACGAATTTTCTCCTGCAAGACAACAGGACATCTCGGAAGCTGCTCTTCGGAATACAAGCAGAGCCAACCAAGCGCATTCGGCGTGAAACCATCTGAACACAGAACAAAGAAAAGTACGACCACTTCGGTTGCCTAACAGTTCTTCGAGATTGTATTCAATTTTTCATCATAAACACATCGTCATAGATTTGACACTCATATCAGTGGGTTATATAAACCGATACACTGTTTTCTTACACTTTGTCACTCTATGTCCCCCTTCTTACACTAATACCGACTAACTCTCCTTGTTAAAACCCTATATTTTCTACCTACCAGTTATTTGAACGCAAGCCCCGGGATTGGGCTCACCATTAGTAACTACGCCACAAGTGAAGGTGTTGAATGAGTTCCTGTAGAGCTCGTCCAGCTAATGACGCTAATTGTTACGAACTTCCTACCATCGACCCCATTGCAACCTTACACACTCACCGCAATTGTGGAGACAAGCGTACTCTTTCGTACAGCGTGTTTTGCCTATCATGGGTGGTCTCCCTCACCTATCCGACCTTATTGTGAATTCATACTCTGAAAGGGGGATACCACGATAAGGGAAAAGGTCGAAGAAGAGGAATCTTGCTTAGTGGAGAGACAAGCAAACCTGCTAAAGGCGTGGACCGCAATTTGCATCGAAGGATATGCTCCCGCAATCCAGCATGGCCTTCCCCGTGGCGCTATTGGTGCACTACCAGCGCGGTATGTCCTCTTCCCGCTATCCGAGCCCCTAGCAGTAAATCAGAGAGAGCGTTAGCGTTGAAGAGGGCAGCGCCGATGAGAGTCGCACCAATGCGGAAATCAACGGGCAAGGGAAGGGATCTCATTTCTCGGGTTCTCGACTGTATGTATCTGTTGGCTTTTCTTTTTTCGTGTATTACTGACTAGCTCTAACTCGAGCAACAACCCAGATCGAATAGGTGAGGTAACAGCGATTGATAGTAATGGCATGGGAAGGACGCGTCTGTGCAAGTTTTTGAAGGCAACAGCCAAGCGATGAGGCTACCATATCTATCAACCTATTGGCTATCTTCGCCGTTACGTCATAAGCCACGTTGTGTGAAGGCAACGTGACTCGTCCAAACGCTTAGATTAGTCGCCAGAAGCTGACTTTGTAAAACCATAGTAAATGCCATTATCGCACACCTTCGAGCCATGACAGCGGCACAACTAAGATACTCGTGGACTACTCTATCTCACCTACTGAATAGACTTTCCAAAACGACTCCTGCTAGAGTTGTTTAGGATCGATTTAAAATGGCCTGTCTTTTCATCAACAACAACCCGCCTTTTATTTTACCATTTTTACAAATTCTCCTTTTGCACTTCCAGTTCACTCGCGCAAGACGGAACCACTGTGTTTCCCACTGATTTCAGCGTTCAGCGAGTCATTGGTATTAGCGACATCAATGTGGATGCTCAGCTTTGGATCTCCGCCAAACGGGCTAGAATTAGACTGGTACAAAGTTATCAAGTGACTCCGTTTATTAACGCGGGCGTGGAAGGGGGCGCACGAATTCTTGACTTTGACCTCGCCTACCTCAGTGCACAGTTCGTTCACTGTAGGCTTTGCACTTCTACTTGTTCGAAGTCCCTGTATACTGCGAGCTTGTATATTCTGATCCGCCCATTGTGATTGGGTTTTTGCCCACTCAAATTGTGCTGCGTACTTACTAAGCATTAAGCTTATAAACCATTTATTCTGCTCTGTAGACTTTCTCATAACCTAATTATAAACAAACAAGCTCCACCCACCACAGCTAAAACTCCCTAATTTAACCTTGTAATTCGGCGCACACCGTCACCCATTTTTCCGGCCCATGAGCTGCCTCGGTATCTGATTTGAAATTTTTGCTATTGGCACCACCCATTTGGCGCCCGACCTGACCACTGTGAGTGATGCTTTTGGGCTCCGTACATCGTGTATGATGCCCATCCCATCCTAAACTTGGCTCAGACTCTACAAGTGATTCTTCAGATAATCCCGAATTCCGAGACGCATGTCCCAGAAACGGCGCTTTACATTTACTTAGAGGTTACTTCGGAATGACATCGAAAATCATCCACCAGTCATAGGATACTTACCGAGCATGAAACTACTTCCTTCATCACCAGCCCCCCACTTCGACTCCAGAAGATAGCGGAGCATCCGTACCAAAAGCCTAACGTCGTCGTGAAATGACTTAGCGTGCATGTTCCCATCCTCTTCTACGAACGTCCGCACAAACGGGTTCTTCAACGAAGACATTCAGCAGAAATCACCACCAGACAGTACTTCCTACCTCATCACGGAAGAAGCGTGTAATTTTAAACATGGAACCGTTCCGGTTCGAACGTTTCAACTGTTCGGTGCAGAGTTCAGTCCACGAGTCATCAAGCATGGATAACTTTATCAGAAGTGGCGAAGAAAAAAGCCGATCAATAACGTCTCGCTTCACATCAGCAACCAGTTCTTTCGATAGAGTTTTAATAAAATTTTCTGAAAACGGGAAAATTAAATAAGCAATTTAGTGGCGCTATAACGATGTACTAAACAACCTCGCTCTTTTTTGTCCACATTTCCTTCTACGGTAACGCTAGAAATCTTTTTCCTCTTCTTTGTGTGCTGAGATTTTTTTGAGACGGTGCTGCAGCTTGAAACGTCGAGGATCTCACCTAAATTTTTAAAATGGTCAAATTCACCCTAACACCATCACGGCGTCTAGTGTTCCGGAATCTAAGAGGAATAGAAGTCGGACTTTTAGCCAAGTGAACGAGTGAGATTATATAATCATGCGCTTGTTATTTAGAACACAAATCAGTCGGGGGATTCCATGGTTTGCTTTGTGTCTACACGCCCAAGTCATCGCTAACGCCCACCTAATGCGCAAAAATAGTCGTAAGGTATAACTTCAAACCTTTCGATGGACGCGTATTCCATTTAGTACAATAACGATCCGTTTGACACTGAGAACGTGGTTCATCGCCCGATGCGAGACCGCTTGAAGGCAAGTTTTGGGATGGAATGTGATGAAAGGTGTGTAAAAGCATTCAATAGTGAAGGTGGGGGGAGGGGAAGCCTGACGGTGGAAAAGAAAGCAAAATAAAGCATCAAGGCCCTAAAATGAAGGGCCAAAACTTTCTGTTAGTAGGGTGCGGTACGGCGGAGATTACGAGCGAACAAAGAAGACAGAAAACGCGAGAAGTACACCGTACGAGATGGTACCGAGAAGCGGCGGGTGTGGCCGCTCCGAAACCGCGGCCGGTAGTCTGGGGCACTGGTGAGACTCTTGCCACACTCTTTCGAATTGTGGATGGCACATCGGCGGTTCGCTAGCTTCTAACTACCCCGAAGGAATATACCGCTTAGCTTATCCCCGGGCTTGCCTTTGAGACGCAACGCCGCTGTCTGCAGTGCGCCTGCGTCCAGCGTTTTATTATAGCAAGCGCTCCCCTGCCCCGGGGAGGGAGGGGCTGACTTCGGTTGAATCACATGATGTTCAACAATAAGATGGTAACCCTTTCAGCTCCCCTAATACTTTGCAGGTGAACGTGAAGCCTTCAAAGTGGGGAACGAATGGTAAGGGACATCGACTGATTCTGAAAGAGAAACATGGGAGCAATATGACAATGGGCCGCTGAACCTGTTTTACGAACGCCATCAAGTACTGGCTCTAAATTGAAGCACGACTCAACAGAGATCTGGGCACTACAATCTTTCAAGGGGTACCGCCATCGTTTCACGTAGCATAAATAAATAGAAAAAAATGAAGAAATATGTGTACCCTCACACTTACTGCCCTTTGAGCTGAGACGCTTCCGCTTGAATGTCCGCCTTGGAAGTAAGGACTTTGGTTTGTGTACATTCTCGGTAGAGATATTATTCGTAGATATGTCGGCTAAAACTGAAGATGAGCAGTTTGCTTCGCAATCCTGTTCAGCGTCATCATCAAAGTACGTGTGTTCGGCACGGCGTCTAGTTTCATTTGAGCTAGAGCTCGTATTCACATCACATTCAACAACCGGTGAGAATGAATCACTAGATGCAAGCCTTCGTCTACACAGCAGTCCATTTTCTGCTTCACCACTTTTAGAGCATCGCCTTTGAGCGCTATTGGCATTCTTCTGCTGATCTCTGAAGAACAGCAACATCAGCGTTGATTCATGGCTATGTTGTGAACAAAGCAGTCACGAAAAATAGCAAAGTAGTGTAACTTTACTGGAATAACTTGCTTGGAGCCAAAGATTTATTATAAGAACCTTTTTCATGAGGCTTTCAAAACAGCACTGAAAGTATTGAAGCGAATGAACGATGACTAGCAGGCTTAAAAGCAGTGTACAGCTACAACCATTGACTAGTAACAATTCTTACAGAAACATATGTAAGAAGAACGTTAGGCAGATAAGCAGTGAGCATCAGTGTTGCAGAACAGCTGCAATCACAAACATCACACAATAAATAACAAAGCCGACTGGCAACAAGAGATGAAAACATGAGTGAGATGGTACAAGAATGACCTGTTAAAGAACCATGGTACACTTTACAAAGGAAAGAGCAACTAGCTACTAGGCCACACGTACATACTTCGCTCAACCACTCGTCGCAACGTCATTACTCGCGGATGATTTACAAGTTTGACGTTTTCAGAATCAGAATATCTTACTCTCTAATATACTATTCCCTCGCTATATAAACTCTTCAAAAGCCCAAGTTTGAAAGAAAGCAAAATCCCGGAAATATATTCTACAGTGCGACGAATGATGGTAAAGAGAATGCACATAGCCATAAAGTAACTAAAAAACCTCTACAAAAGGCTAAAGCTCACTGCGAAGAAAACACAGGTCTGAATCTCTCGAAATTTCGACCTTTTTCTCTCAATGCTTTCATGTTCGCGTTGATCATTTTGTAGCTCTGCTTGGCATTCTCGCATAACCTGTTTACTTCCTTCTTTTCCTCAACAACTGCCAACATCGCCGCGAGAAGATCACTCTGAATAAATATAACTAGATAGATTAGAAATGCAAATGCAACGTCTAAAAGTTCAAGTTTTACATTTGCAGTCAGGTTATCGTTCATTCCTTCACCCAGCTGCTTGAAACGCAGGTTCAGATCTCGATATTTAACCTAAACAGGATCGTATATTAATATAATCCTGACAAAATTGAAGGAAGCTACGCCCCACACAAAGATTTCAAAGAAAAAGGCTACTTACTTCAAGTTCAACCTCTCTTTTGCTAAGGCGCAGCATTTCTTCCTTGCTCTTTAGGAGCTCCCTCTCATGGACTAGAGCGAACCATGAGTCCATTGCCCATGCGTTTTCAGGATCTAAAAAAAACTTTGTTACAGAAGGTTCCAATAATATGTGATCCCATTTACTCTGCTGCCGGGAAATTATACTGCAAGTAAAACCGGAGAAGTCGTTGAGCTTTCGCAACTTTCTAACCTTCGATGAGCTTCAGTTCTAGGGATTGCCCGATTGTCTTTATCTCCTCCATCCGTATTTCGCACTCTTGTAAACCGCGTTGAATTTCTTGCGCTCCGCGACGGCGCTCATCGTCATGTTGTCTACAAATTAATATTCCTATTTAGAATATTAAATTGCTTCAAATGAACAACCAGAAGTTATCGTGATTATTAAGCTAACCTTCTAATCTTCTCAGCTCTTTTGTGAAAAAGTCGAATATTTCGCTCATTCACGGATATATGTGGAGATGAATCACCTTCATCTTAACAAACTAAGCCTGAGAAATGTATAACAAAAAGTAAGTTACACGTCAAAATGGTACCTGCGTCCAACCGAGGAGAAGGAGCTACAGCTGCAAATGGTACTTCACGGTTTTCCATATCTGCACCAGACGGAGCATTAGTTGGATGAGGAGATGTACACGTTGAGCTTGCAGACGAAGACGACTGGACATCTGCATAAACTAATTCATAGTAAAGGATTCAATCACGCCACATAATTTCTTGCAGAGCTACTGCTGACTAGACCCTAAAAGACCTGTACTGAATATCACATGAGTTTTGGACAGAAAGGCACCTGTCAGTCCTGAGAATCATTACGCTCATCATAAAACAGTGTTAACGATGTTTCGTCCGTAAACAAAAAGTAAAAAAAATGTAAACTATGGTCTTTACCTTTTTGGAGATAACTGCTAGAGACCTTAGGGGCATAACAGTTTATGGAAAGAAGCTTTAGGTCATAGAAAAGTTAATAGCTAATCCTGAAACACTTTCTAACGTGGCATACCTTTTGAATGAACTTCGGCGCGCCTCATCTTGAAGCGTCGCAACGAATTGGCGAGGATGCTGGTTTCCTTGCGGCTCTCGGAATGCACCACATCGTTAGGGTTAAAACGGTTTGCCGGCTACAAAAGGTGCTCGTCGGTGTACATCAAAACAGATTTTTCTGCAAAAAATGTCTGCAGCTCACCTGAGTCTTACTCGTCGCTTCCGGAATTAACAGCCGTGAGAGCAAACCAGGCGCATGTCTTTCAGGGAGACGTCCTACTCTTTCCTTGCCTTCTTCCTTCAAAAAAATCGGACAATAGCTATCCTATCCTACATAAAGTAAAGAAACTAAAGGAACCAAAATTGCTGCATGATAAGAAGAAATTCCCATTACATTGGTTAAAGCTGCCCAAATGTAGGAAAAAAAAGAAAAAAAGGAAAAAAAACATGCTTCAAAGTGAAACAACGTACTTTCACCATGCGTTCATCACGTTGGGTAGCAGCAGGGAGAGCAGATATAGGAGTTGCAAAATCAGTCACTGGCATCGATCTTCTTTCTTCTTTCGCGCTTTCTGAAAAGAACATAATCTAGAATGGAAATAGCAGAGAATAACAAAAACGAGCTTTCTAATAGCTATTCTATAAACAGTCATGAGTTTAGGAATGAATGAAAAAATGAAGAAATCAAAAAAGAATGAGAGGAGTAAAAGTTAAATGGAAGACCACCAACCACGAATAATAAAAAGGGAAGTAATTATAAAAAAATTACGAACCTAGTCCGAGTTCTTCATCAGTCTTCAACCTAGCTTTTAATCGAGACTCCGTTCGCAGACGCTCCAGATCGTCAGCCTTTTTCTACAATTTTATCATAAACAAGAACATTAACACATTGAATCAAAGATGCAGCAACCTTCTTAATGTCATTGGCCAGTAATGCTTCCGATGGGGTAGAGAAAACGTCGGGCTCCACATTATTGATTGGAGGTGAATCTGGAGATAGTTCACTACCGCCAGGTTCATCACCATGAGTACCGTGCGCAAATCGTTCCAACGGAGTATAGAAAGTATCGGGCTGCAATAACACAACACTTACCATTAGGATTGAAGGAAATGTGATTAGAACACTTTTATCTCAATTGGAATGCCGCCTTTCGACCAACTACTGATAGGATGCCACGAATCTGCCCTTCCCTACTCTACCGTATGATCTCCTGAATAAGAACACTTCTTTCCTGACATTTCTTTACTGAAAACCCCACGTCACGCGATGCAACACGCCCAATACTGAGTGACGATTTCAGCAACATTTTTGTTGTTGTTTTTTTTTTTTGCTTTCATTGCCTTTTTTACGGTGCAGATGAGGAACAGCAGAGCGCGAGAAAGCAACTGGGAAAATAAGTAAAACGAGTGCAGCACTGAACTGCTTTTGCAGCGCACCCTTAACAGAACAACAGTACGAATTTGAGGAGATATTTCCAAATTCCGATTCCCACCTATTTCCTTCTCATCTGAAGCGTGAATGCAAAACACAAGGAACACCGCCTCACCAACTTTTCTTCCTCATGTATCAGCCTTCATATAGAGGTTTTTCAGAAAAATAATTACCATGAAACCGTCGCAACAAAGTAGAAATGAAAGACGCCGCAAAATAAGTTAAAAAAAAAACACGAGATTGTTGTTGAAGAGTACCCAGTAAGTAGTACATATTACAGCTTTTCAAGACCTCCATTCTACTAGCTTTTACAAGGTCATCAATTAGATGGGAACAAAATTGACCCAAACTGGAACATCTTCCCAGTTATAGATTTACTCTACTCTGAGGCATTTCTTCAAGATTTTTCAAGCAATTGAAACTATCATGAGAAGTGGTTCTGATCCTTAAAACAGCAACTCTACCATCCGACTGAGAGCAATCCATGGCTCACACGGGTTATATAGTAAAAGAACACCAACCCATGCAGGGCGGTCACCATTTTGGCATGATGGTGCTGAGTCCCTGGGTGTACTCATAGGTGTGTCTCTTCGACGATTGATGCTTTCAATGACAGATACTACCTGAAAATAAAATAGAGATACTAGCTGAAACATAAAACGTGAGAGCGTGGAGAAAAAAGTGTTCTCGGCACATGAGAGACACAGCTTGATTTACCTGCTCCTCTGTAAGAGGCCGGTCTGGATTTTCCTCAGAGTACTGCAGCACTGTTCTTTCAAGTTCTTCAAGATCGCCCTCTTCAAGCTCGTCGCCTTCCTCTTCGGAAATGCTGGCATCAGCGTCGATAAAGGCTTCTGGACTACTCCTGCCTAAAAACTACAGCATAGGCTTCCTCATAAATACCATCTGAAACCAACAGCTCACCACATTCTTCTAATTCAGCCTCAAAATCAGAAGACGAACTCAATGAATCCGATTCCGCTTGATGTTGCACTGGGTCGGCGTTTGACTAAAAATTAACATATCAGACAAAAGTATGCGCTTCCACTCGGCATTAACTAGCTGACAAAACTAGCTGCAGTTGGTCTGCCCAATAAAAAAACTCCTCAACTTTTTGCTCTGCGCTTTCAGCCTGAATAATGACCATCAGGCGCACGGTGAAAGTCTTGAGGAATTTGAATATCTTGCGATTGCACTAATTGCGACGTGACGCGAGGTCACTATACATGCGAAAGAAAGTGCAAATGAGAGCATGGCAATGAAGCGAAGAACAACGGTCAGACTATTTCCCAAATTTTACCATGCGCATATCCAAAAGCAAAGTGGTAATGATAATAGCACGGAGGTCATAAAAGAATAACTACGCACCGCTGTACTGGATGTCCGCAGATGATTACTGAACTCAGCTCTTTCAGGGGTGCGGTCATCAATGGAAGGTACTTCAGAAACTGGTGAGATAGGACCTCCCTGGAACATGGCTCAGAATAAACTCATAAAAATTAGTTATGGAAGTGTTTTGTGCATAATACAGATAAAGAAACGACGATAGGCGTAAAAAAACAAGGACTACTTTTTTTTATTAAACTCACCATTAAGTTGTCTCGCATTTTCTGAACGGTTCTATCCCGAAGATGCTCTGGAGAAAAGAAGCTGAGTGTCGCAGTGCACTGCACCAATGAGCCACTGGAAAATTTGAAATTTTCTAAGAAGTATTGGTCTGCTTTTAATGAAAGTGTTAAATATGTGTACCTCGATGGTTCGGTATCCTTAGGTGCTGCGATATTAAGAGGAACGGGTAAACTGATGTCTCGGCTCAGACCGGAAGATTCGTCATCGCGATTATTATTCTTCTCTTGTAAACGTGCGCTACGCTCGATGCGCGCAATCTTCTCCTTCAACGGCAAACGCAAATGAGTTTTGCAGAAGAATCTGCAACCATGTGATAGAATCAATGGAAGCACTCGAAACGATTGGACAAGCACTCTAGTTGACGGTAATTTTTGTGTCTTCTGAAGGGCCAATTCAACTAAACTGATTACCTAACCTTCTTGGATAGTGATATTCCAGATCTTTGTCTTTTCCACATTCCCCTATGCGTAGTGGTTGGCTACAGTAGGCGCACCGAAAGCAGTTCTTGTGAACAAACATTGATTCCACTTGCATGCGCTCTGCCAAGTAGACGACCTTCAAATGGAACCTTGGTAAAAGAAAGAACGTAGTTATGACATAGTCAAAAAAAAGAATGACACCAACCTTCTCACATAACTGACAAGTCTCTTGCCGATTGGGATTCACACTTTCGTAAAGTGCTGACATCGATGGCGCTGAGAAATGGCGCTTCGGCTGCACAGGCGCCACTGGCTGAAAAACTTTGAATTGAATGCATTCAGTGCTACGGTATAATTGCTCTCACCCTTAATACAACAGCATCACGTTCTTTCCCCACAGTCTTCAGCTTCTTAGGCGGAGCGGATAATGTGGGTTCTGGTGCATTGCTCTGAAACAAAGGAAGAATTGGGTAGGTTTTGCCCATCGCCACTTATGATTATCGAGCGAACCAATGCCAACAGGAACCCTTCTTCTAGGAACCGCTCCACTTGTAGATATGATCTTTCAACTAAGTACTGCAGAATGAAGATGCAGCATAATATGTGAAATGTTTTGAGGGTAAACCATTCTGTTTCTGTTACACAAGCAGTAATTTCACGATGTATCTGACCCTGAACTCCACAGAAAGCTCTCGGTAACCCGTAAAAACTGACCTTATCATCTTGAACAATTATAGGCTCCTTTCCCTTGAGCACCACGCGCGTGCCGGTATTCTCCAAGTTCTTTTCCGGTTCGTCGATGCCATTTTTAGCGATTTTCTCTGCCAAACGTTGCACCTGCACATGTAAAAAATCCACCGATAACAAAGTCTCGAGAAGAAGAAGTTGACGAAGAAACTCACTCGGCTATCTTTTTCTGCGTGTGGATTGAGAATTGATTCGTCGCGAACAGTGCCAAAACTGATCTTCTCTACCTAAAAATTCGAGTGTTAAAAGTTTGTAAGAAGCTCGAGTGGCGGGCACAAATAAAGACACCTTAGGAAGCTCAAGATTGAGACGATCAACCGGTCGCCGAGTGTATTTCATCGCATCCTCTTCCTAAATGTTAACTATACTGCCACCTCCCCAGATAACCTCGACATTAAATGATTATATATCATACTTTTGGTCCAGACACAGATTTGTACGAATATCGGCGCGTGACAGTCACTTTTTCTTCATTTGACCTGCCGATCGGATTGATATTTTCCGCTTGCCAACTTGGATGCTCTACCGATGCCGAAACCGGTTCCTGAATGGGAGTGTCGAGAGAACAATTACAAATACAACAACGTATGAAATTACTTTTTTCGCCGCCGTGATCACACTAGTATGGTTG